TAAAATTTTCTGTAATTATTCTATAACGATCGAAATAAATAATAATCAAATGATACTAGATCCAGAAAATATAGGAAATAATGCAAATCTGATTATTTCAGTTATAAAATTCTTTTTGTGTGATTTTTATAATTATCTGCACTGCAACATATGATTTTGTATGATTATCACACATCATTTCTTTTGATTGAAAAAACTGAGATAATATTTCTCTTGCTTTTCACAGCTCTGAATAATTTCATTCCGTTTTAATATTTCATAATAGATAATTTTTTTTATAATTTTATCAAATAAATAACATTTTCTTCTGATGGATTCTTGATGGAAAATAAACGATTCAATTTTTGAACAAATATATTTTTAAATATAGAAATAACAAAATTATATCTCCTTTTATCAAATATATTCTCACCTTAATACTTTCCGAAAAGAATTCTTCTTACCACGTGCTCTTAGCTAGACTAAACAAAGAATCATCGCTAGATGCATAAATACGCGCTCCTTGTCAACCATAGAAGACATATTGAAGTTAGATGGGTAAACTCATATACTTTTTTCCTGCGAATTTTTCTATTGTTAAGATTTTGAATCTAGTTATAGTTGTTGATTTTGATAAATCTACTAACATTATCCTATATGGACATGTCTTCATTTTCATATCTATTTTTCATTTTACAATAATATTTTTAAAAATAACTCATATTTTTGACGAATGAAATGACTAGTTATTATGATCAGTCGTGTTTTTAATCAATAAATATTTAAACTCATAAACTAATTTTTCCTTTCTCTATTTATATATAATCAGATGTAATAATTTTTCTAACTTATGCATTAACGAGCAAAGATTTTCTTTCATTAATATTTTCAAAATATTTTGATCAAAATCAGAATAATATTCAAATAATATAATAATGTTCATTCTTCAAGTTTAAAAATAAAAACAAAAATTTTACAAGTTATTTTTGTACAATTTTTTTTTTTGTTAATGCATTTTCAATATATATCTGATCCATTTATATCAGAATTATATCAAAAAAAAAGTGTTAAAAATATTATTTTAAAATTTCCATCCATTTATTTTTCTAATAATTTATGACCATTAAATTTATTTAATATTTACAAAATTGTATTAATATATTTTCTATAATGATTTTTTTCTTTATTCATTCATGTTTTTTCTTTTTTCATTTATTTTATTTTTATTTAAAAATTTCTTTCTTTCTTTATTCATTCATTTTTTAAAATAAATTATTTTATCCATCGATCAATATCATTATTAATTTCATTATTTTTTATTATTTGTAGAAATTATGCACAAATTTTTTTTGCGGCTTATTTATCAACATTATGTATATTTATGAATTATAGATCATAATTTTTTTAATTTGTCAAAGTTAACTACGTTTTAGCATAAAACCGTATTTTTTTTTACAATTTTTTTTGTTTTTCCAATAAAATGCTGTCTATACAATTACTTAAATTACTCAAATCACTAGATGCTGATATACGAATTTTTTTTTCTCGATAAATATTTGGAATTTTGTAAATTTTTATATTGTCAAAATATTTTGTTAAATTTTTTCTGTCACATTATATTCACCATATCCCTTATGTTTGTACCTTCAGTGTTAAAATAATTTCGAAATAATAAATCGATTTTATTTGATCAATAAAATATATCAAAGTTTATATAAAATTACTATAAAATGTAAACATATCAAATTTTTCTACATATCTTTTGTATTTCAAGTATTTGCTACATTGCAATATTATATTTCTTATGTCTTTAAAAATGATTCATAATAGATATTAGAAAACCGTTTTCTGAGGAACATATAATATAAAAATATATATAATATAAAAATGTTATAATATAATATAAAAACATAATATAAAATAATATAAAAATATAAAAATGAAAATGACATCAAATGCATTATATATTACAGTTGTTACTATACAGTGAAAAAAAAATATAAGATATGTATTATTAAAATTCATCAATTTTTTTTTTTTTTGCTTTCAAACAAATACAATTATTGTCATAGTTATTAATAATATAATGTTCTTGTGAAGAGCAGAGAATAACATCATTTACTTTTATTCCATTCGAAAAACAACTCATCGATATATTTGATATTTTGAATATCAATAATAACCAATTTTGTCATTTTCTATCGATTTATGTTAATCATGATGTTTCATACTATGGTTATCGTAACATTATTATTTTTCTCTAAAAAAAAATCGAACATCTTGTCTTCAAAATTCGTTGTATTCTATTGAATACTTTTATCTGAAAAAGAGATTTATAAATATACTTGATCTTCTTCAGATAAAACACCTCAATATTCATGTTTCATTTCAAAGAAAAATTACGTCAATAATCCTGAATAAAATATTAATTATCCGAATTATCTGCTTTTTTTTGACTTCACCAAATTCGTATTTTCTTCTTTCTTGAAATGTTTTTGAACACATTAATTAATATTAATTTAAGATTATTTATACAATGATATTTCGTTTATTCGTTATTAGAATACAATAATCTCGAGAGAACAATATATTTAATTTCAATAATAACCGATGATCTCCTATCGCGTTGGTCATAATGTTTCACATTGTGGCTGTCAAAGATTATATTAGAAAGATGTATATTTAATTTTTTTATTAAACATTTCTAAGTTCAAAATGCATTATAATGATTATTCTCTTACTTCATATTTATGATATATGCAAATTTTTCTCTTTTTTATAATTAATGTATATTACTATTATTGTATATTTTATTATTACTAAAATATTTTGTCTGATTTTATTTTTTATGTTAATAGTGCATCACCTCATGGCAAAGTAAAACAAGATATCATTTGGACTGCAAATAAACAGTGTGTACTGAATAAAATAGCTAATAAAAGATTTCGAGGAATAAAAACAGCATGAAGTAAGAAAACTAACATAAAACTTGCTATATTTATGCCAAATTAAGAATTACAAATATATTATATATGTATATTGTAATAAAAAATTAATAATACTAATATTGTGTAATTCCATTTATTTCTAAATTATTTTTAAATTAAAAATATTTAAAAAGCTGACTTAAATGCTACAGAAATTTTCTATAGTTTTGTAATCAATTTGTATGTATTAATTTTCAATTTCTACAAAATTTATTTTTTAATTGACGCCAATATTTAGTAATATTTATTAACAAAATAATAAAAAAAATTTCAATTATAATATAATTGAATTTTCTCTATAAAGATAACTAATAAATTGAATGCTGTTTATATAGACATACTATGAATCAAATAATCAATAATGTAATACAATAATAATAGCTCTAATATGCATAGTGTTTTCAAATAAAATCGTTAACTTCATTTGATCAAGGAATATATTTCTCCAATGTGATCATTTTATTTTAAATTATATTAAAATTATATTTTAATTATTAAATTATGGATAATGATATTGAATTGATTAAAATAGATTTTTATATAATTGCCAATAATAATTATTATTTTAAATAATTTTTTTTCATTTGTTTTAATTTCAATGATCATAAAAAATTGAATTTTAATGTAAACTTGCTTGCTATGCAGGATTATCATATTGTCATATAGAGATAGAAAAATATTGATTTTAACTTTACAAAGACTTGAAAAAGAAGGGATTCTCGAATTTTCTTGTTTAAAAAATTCATTCCAAAAATTAATTTCATTTCAAAAAGTTTTTCAAAAAATTATTTATTTTCACTTTCAATTTCAATTCAATCAAATTCCTGAAAAAATCGGCAAAAAATCATATATATATATATATATATATGATAAAAAGTAATAAAAAGAATATTGTATCTTATAAAATACAACGAAAAATTGATTATTTATAATAATTATAATTATTTATAATAATAAATCAAAATTAGAATAGTGAATAAATAAATGAAGGATTTTCTTAGAAGAATGATTCAATAAATTCAAAAGCAAATTAGATAATAGAAGTTCAAACCTAACAGATTGCAAAAGCAATATAAATATAATAAATTATATTACATAATAAATAATAGTGAAAAAATTAAAAAATAATAGAAAAAAGATATTATCATAAATATATATTAAAAATGGATAAAAAAATAAAATATAACTTATCCAAAGCAATATTGTAATAATTGTAAATAATATATGTGCAAAAAATATTCAAATAATTTAATAATATATGAAACTTGTGAGAATTTCGATGTATCACATTATGTTAAATAAATTATTACAACAATCATATTTGACGATTGTAACTATTTCAAAAATAATTGTATTTATTACTTTTCTATAGATAGAATTCAATGTACTGTACTGTAAAAAAAAAAAAAATCTGAAATTCTATATTTAGATTTTTCTCTTTCCTTTCTTTAAATTTTATGTTAATCGGAAATGTATATTTTTTTAATATTCGATAATAAAGATGAAAATAGTTTAATAATTTTATAAACATTTATTTATTGCCTTATAATTAAATCGTTTATTGAACATTTTTTGAATTATACATACAGAAATTATGTTTATGTTTTATGTTACATTATATTTTATCAATAATAATGAAATAATTTGTAATTGACATATTAAATTATATACAATTCCATCATTATAGTGTATATTCTTATGAAGTAATAATAAATTTTACATAGATTTTACAAGTTTTGAAAAAAACAATAAAAAAAGAAAATTTTTAGAAAAAAGAAATAAAAAAATATAATATTTTTAACAATAAATTGTTAATAAATCATAAATCTAAATACATTACTTAATACTAATATTATAAATATATATTAATACTATAATATATACTATTAATACATACTATATATAATGTATGTAACTTTATATAATATCTGCTTTATTTTTATTATTATTAAATATATTATTACTATCATTAAATATATATTTTTTGTTATTACTAATATAAATTAATACAATAAACAATAATACAATAAATAATACATTTTATATTAAACATTAATACATTAAATAATAAAATCTAAATTAAAAAAAAAATGTTAATTTTCCAACTCAGTTATCATCAAATATATACCCGTTAAAGGCATCAAAAAATTTGCAAATTTATGAAATTTATAAGGAATTAATGTTTTATCGCAAATATCGACTTTATACTTACGAATAATTTTTACTAATCCAATCTTTGTTTGGTATGTTCCAAATCGTGCACCTGGAACAAAATTCTTAACATTAATTCTTAACAAATTATTAACATTAAAAATACAAAATTCTAATTGTATTATTATTAATTTCATTATTCATTTCATATTATTTTTCAATTATCTATTTCAAATTTTTATTACATACATACCAATGCAATTTCTTGGTCCATGTCCAAATGGTAAATAATGCATAGGATGTCTTTCTTTTATTTTATCCTCTGAAAATCTTTCAGGATCAAACTTTTCTGGATTTGGGTAAATATTTGGATCGTGATGAATGCCATAAACGGGTATCCAAATTTTTAAACCTTTGGGAATTGTTATTTTACTATTTTCAAAGGTATAATCATCTATTAGCTCTCTGTTCAAAAATGGCACAACTGGATATTTTCTTAAAGTTTCTGTAAATAGGATCAAAATTAAAATTAGCATCAAAATAAATCATTAAATAAAGATAATGAAATGAAAGTGAAACTTTCAACAATTATACAAAAAAGAAAATTAGTAATCAAAATAGATCATTATATGAAGAATGAATGAAACTGAATGAAACATTAATAAAACTGAAATGTAAATGAAACTTTCAATAATTCTGCATATTAAATTTAATAATTTAAAAATTCAAACTTTCATTTAAGAATTAGAAACTGAAATATATTAGGTATTACAATATAATACTTACCTTGAAAAATTTTTTCTAAGTATTGCATTTCTTTTATGCTTTCATATGTCCATTTTCCATCATTTTTCTTTTCAAATTCTTTAATTTCTTCTCGCAACTTATGCTGAATATCATGATTCAAAGCTAACTCGTAAAGAGCATTGCTAATGCTCGTCGAAGAAGTCTCAAAGCCAGCCCCAAAGAAAACAAAAGTTTGTGCACTTAATAAATCGTCTGTTAATTCTAAAAAAAAAAAAGTTTGTTACATCATCAGGTTATGTTACATCAATGATATACATCTGTAATATTGTTCTATGTAAGATGTGTTTTATGCCATATCATTTATAAATGAAACGATATATAATATTATTATTCAATACAAACGTATTTTATTTGTTTGTTTATAAAATATCGTTAGAATAAAAATGACTTATTGTAAAATATTACTAGCATATATGTTATTATAATTGTGACAAAAAAGAAAAAAACATTTACACAATATAATTCTTTCTTGCATCTTAATAATCATCAAAAATAGAAATTTTGTAATAATCACTTGATTTATAAGAAATACGAGATATTGTGTTGAAAAGATTAACATATGTCATTAGTTTTTAACAATTTAAAGATTTGAATAAAATATTGATAATTGTTTACTCGAAAAAAAAATTAAAATAACTTCATTTTCTTTTTTTATACATGGAATCAAAAGAATAATTTGTAAAAATTTTTTCATATCTTTGATTTTCGTTTTATATTATGCGATAATTTATTTATTATTATTATTATTTTTTTTTTTACTATGTTACACATAATACGATAATAACCGAGAAAATGAATATTATACCAATCGCCGACATTCATTTTGAATTAGATTATGAAAATCGGATTAAAATTGAACAATGTGAAAAAATTTTTAGTATGCAACAAATTCTTTAACAAGCAAGTGAGAAAAAAGAAATATTGTAAATTTTAAATTTCAATGTTAGTACCAATTGTTCGTGCAATTAAACTATACTAACCAATCTCAGCAATCTTTTCAGGATGTCTTTTGAGATCTAAAAGTACATTGATAAAATCAGATCTAACGATATTGTTCTTCTCTCTATATTCTATTGTTTCACTCGTTAATTTCACAATCTTTTTCGTGATTTCATCCCATGGTAATATACGAAGAAAGAAATTGTATAACCATGGCGTCAAATTTCTTATCCTAGTTTTCACTATTCTTCGGAAAGTTGGAGTAAAAACTCCTTTTCCAAGACGACGAAATTCACTCTCCTTTTCCGATAACGAATTCATTTCTATTCCAAAGGCACAACTTCCAATAACATCAGTGGTAAATCTGGCAGTAATTTCTCGAACATCGAGAGGTTCTCCTTTTCTTATTAAAGTATCCATGTATTTTTCGAGTTGTTCAGAACATTCGAGGATTAAAGAACAAATTCCTCTAAGTTTGCTGGTGGTAAATATTGGTGTAAAATTTATTCTTAATGGCCGCCATCTTTCTGCCTCAATAGAGAAAAGATTCTGGGACAATGGTTCTCTCTATAATTATTGCATATATTAAATAATTATTATTAATGTTATTTATTCGAAGCATATAATTTTTTTATCGTCTATTATGTATTTCATATTTTAATTCATTTTCATTTACTTTAATACTTGAAACGTAGTTAAAACTAAAAATATATTGGATAATGAATATTCATTCATTTACATTATAGAATTTGTAAAAATTATATAAAGAATTATATAAAGAATTTATTTAAAGAAATATAAAATAAATTTATAAAAGTAAAAAATCAAATGAATCATAATAATAAATAAATAATGAGTTTAAAAAAGTATTTATTTAAACTAAGATAAAAAATTAGAACAAAACATTTTATCTATTTGTCAAATATGATATGAAATTAAACAAACAATATTATTTTATTTATTTATTGTTATCTTAAAATCATGAATCCAATTATTATGTTTATACTTACTGAATTAATTGGAAATAATCCTCGATTTGCGAATTTGTGAAAATCTTTAATTAAAACAGTTTTTATAAGATCAGGATTTTTAATAACTAAAGCAGGATTATTTTTTGAAAATATTCCAATCATGGGCTCGTTTTTATATTCATTGTATATTCTTGTGAGAAATTGTGAAATTGATTCCTTTCCTAAAATTACTTTCAACATATTGCCAAAACCGATCACAGGTTGAGGTCCAGATATTTCACGATTTTTCCAAAAATTGTTATTAATTGTTAAATAATAGTAGAACATAATAAGTGCTACTATTATTCCACAAAGAATTTCCAAACTAATATACATTTTTTTTTTATATATCATATAATATAAAGAATTAATTTGATACCTATCAAAAATTATAAATAATGTTTAATTAAAAATTAGTTAAATTAATTTTATAATTTTATAATAACAATTTTATTTTATATTTTATTTTATATCATTCAAATTACTATTATAATATATATATAAGAATTTAAAATAATATTTTATATGATTAAATATAACTTTTTTAAGAAATAGAATATAGTTTGCATTATTTTTTATTTAATTTTATTTTACATTATTTTAATTTTAAAAAATTTTTAAATTACAAATGCAAAACTTTTTCATTTTATAATTACCGTAAAAATTCTATCCGTTGAAAAACAAGTTAAAGATATTGTTTTCTATTCAGAGACATGTCTCGTTTAAATCAAATACGTATACTGCATTGTATTAATCTTCAAACGAAGTTTATGTATTAAATAGTTGTGATAAGAAGTTAAAAGTTTGTTATCATTAAAATTAAATTTTAATATTACGATAATGTGAGAAAGCATATATATATATATATATACATTGATAGCAAGCACACTTTATCACGTAACCGTGATAAAAGATATAAATAATTCTTTCTCTAATTACAATATATCATTATGTTTAAGTCAATGAATTAAATGTCGATTTCAATAATTTAAAAAATATATAATAATTTCAAAAAATATTAATACATATATTTTATAATTTATAATTTTAAAATCTTATTTGAAATTAGATTTAAATTGAATTATTGAGAAATTGAATTGAATTAGAAGAAATTAGAAGAATCAGTTCATCACATGAAGTGTAAAGAATTTGCAATTTGTTAAAATCATTAAGAATAATAAAAGTTATTTTTTATAATTTTTTTATCTAGATCTATAATAAAAATTTAGAAAAATTTATAGTTAGTTATATAATTTATATAATATAGTATATCACTTTGTTCATGCAAAAATAAGCGACAAATATCGAAAGATGTAAAAATATTTAGATTTTATATCGAAAATTATAAAAAAATTGCAGTTTTTATTATTTTTAATCGTTTACAGTTAATAGTAATATTAACGTTTCACTGAAATTTTGCATATATATATAATTGATATAAATTTATAAAATATATTTTTATATAAAACTCAGATAAAAAAGTTGAAATTTATTATTTTTATTATAATAATCTTCGTAATTCCGACTAATAAATTTTTTTATTTTTCTTTTACACATAATTTAATAAATTAATTTCTCTAACTTTTAAAAACAATTGAAGTCATTAATAATTTTTAAAAATTGCTTGTTTGAGATGCTGATACTTTTTGAAAAATTATCCTAATTAAAGAGTTTATTTTAAAAAATATTTCTCTATAAATATATCTGACGTAGCAATTTTCTAATCATACTCAAAACAACAAAATATTTTCCACATGATTTATTAAGAAATGTGTTAAGAAATTTAGATAAGATATATTTATATTTTAGTATAGTCATCATTGTATATATTTCTAATATTTACAATTCAATGACATACATGTATGTACACATAGAATATCTAAGTTCAAAATATGTACTATAGAATTATATTACACACAATAATAATCTCGTATCAATATAATATTGTAAGATATAGTAATTCGTTTACAATATTTATGAAGTATATAATTGAATATTTACTGCTATTTGATCATGAATGATGAATGACAAAAATTTTGTCATTATATTTCTAAAATTATATTTTTTTGAAATATTAAAAAGATTTGTTGTAAACAACCATATAGGAAATTTGTTATTTCTATTTCTTGGTATTTCAGAACATGCAAATCCGAAATCAATTAATCGATTAATTACTTTTTTTAATATCTTATACTAATATAACAAAATTGAATTTGAAATTATTCAATGGTTATTTATATATATATAATAAATTGTTATATATATATATATATATATATAATACATATTATATATATAATAATAATTTTTAATATATACAAATAAATTTATACAAAAACATTATTAGAAAATATTTTGTTATGAAATTAGAAGAATCATAAGTATAAATATTCATTCATTAATTTTTTATTAAAAAAATAAATTAGTTTATTATTGTAAACTCTTTATTTTAGAATTCTTGAAAGCCTTATTAAGTTTTACAAGATTTGTATTAGAAATTTTGAATAGTTCAAAAGAAAACTAAAATTTGTATACATGTGAGTAAGTATCAATATATATTTTAGATCTTATACATTACTAAAATTAAAATTGTGATTTTTAGAATTCATTCATCAAGTTTTTAGATTATGTAAAAATATATAATTTAAAATTTCTACTTTAAAATTTATCGCTTCATCAAGAAGCAAGTATATTAATATATTTACAATATTTTTAAAAGAGAAATTTTTTGTTGCAGTATATTGTTTATACTTACTATGACATACGTATCAAAAATAGATGGAGCAAATATAAAATGAAATATATTATAATATAATGATATATATACAATATAATATAATGGTTCTATATATGCTGCTATTTATATAATAATTCATTTCAAAAAAATTTGCAAATTTGAAAAATTCTATTCGTGAAAAGATATAATAGGAAATAATTGAAAATCTTATAAATTATTTTCAATAGATAGAGAACTATAACATATTACAATTTACATTTTGTTTACTCGCAAACAAAATTAATTAAAGAAACGAAATTTTAAATTCATTTTTTATTTTTATTTCGATAAATCTTATCCCTGTAAATATTCGTTTACAGATACGTTATCAAGCGATATCATTATGAAAAGAATAGATTCTTTTCATTAGTTAAGCAAAAAAGAAACTAGTATAGTAGACAATATAAAGTAAAGTATTTTTTCAACTTTTGATACGATATTTTTAACATTAAAATTGTGATTTTTAGAATTTTATATCAATTTATAAAAAAAAATGTTTTTGTTCATAATAAATTTTATTTCAAGAATTATTATTTATATTTTATATAATAACAGGTAATAATTATTTATATAATAATAGATAATAATAAATTATTAAATATTAAAAAAAATGTATTTTATATTTTTATTATTATTTAATCATTATTGTAATAAGGATTATATAATTGATAATTAAAAATTAAAATTTATTATTTAATATTAAAGAAATATTATTTTATTAAATTATTAATATTACAATAATTTATTTTAGATTTAAATATTATTATAATAATATTTATTTGTAACTTCTAAATTCGTCATGTATAACGTGATCAAATATTAATATATATTTTTTACATATTTTGTACATTATAATCATTGTTTTTTTAAATATGTTTCTTAACAAAAATGATAATTTGAGGCATTTAATGTAGAAGAGATTATTGTATAAAATTATAAGTTCTTATGACGCGTCATTAAAACTTTTAATATAATATTGTTTTAATATAATGCAATTTTTTATACTAATGTGATGACGAAAATATTACGAAAATATTTTTTAGATTTTATTTAATTAATTAATTAATATAAATTTATATTTATATAAAATAAAAAATTTGATTTATATACATTAATAATATAAGTTTTTTTAAATTAATACCATATATATATATATATATATTATTATATTATATTATTATATATATATATATATATATATATATATATATATTATTTTTTTTAATCTTCTATTTGATAAAGCAAAAGGTACTGAAAATAAAAATTTATATCATTTCAAATATTTTATTATATTTTTTATTATTCGTGTTATAAAAAGAAAAGTCTCATTACAACAATTTTCTATAACACAAATTCATATATATTCATATAATATGTATTAATTGCATTATATGAAAATCTATTACATATATTTTTAATTCAAAGATTCAGTTTATAATATGATCGCAATGAAAACTTTGAATCGAAAAATTTTAAAATATTAGCAACAATAAATATTTTTGATTTTAAATTTTTTATTTATTTCTTATTCATTTAATTTCATACTTTATTTTATTTTAATAGCAAAAGATATCTTATAAATATTATAATTATTCTTTTTTCAATAAAAACAAGTTTTTTTTTTATAACTCTACTTAGATTCATAGAGATAAGCTTTAATATAAATTCAGTAGAAGAGTTAATCTATTTATTCAAGAAAACGCAATTTATAACAAAATCTATTTATTATAACTCTAATCAGTTATCAAAATTTTCAAAACTTTTAATTCAAATTATATTATTTTTTGTCACATATATAGAATGTTAAATATTGATAGAATACTTTTGAAAAATAGACACTTAAATTTTAAAAGCTAAAACAAACACAAAAATTGTATAACAAGTTGGTTAGTATAATATATAAAAATATAAATTGAAATTTATTTATTAAATTAAAAGCTAATTAATTTAAGTTTGCGTTAAATGGAACCGAAGAATGAAACAAAGACAAAGAGATGGTGATATGACTGAAATAATCTCATTCTGTAATCATTGCTTACATTAAAAATTAAAATTTATTTGGATTATCATATATTTTTTTATTATCTAATATAATAATTTAATTTATTATTATTTATTTTATTACTTGAAGTCGATTTAAAATTTAAATTATATTTTATATAATATTATTTCATTTATTTACTTATATTATAAAATAATTGTACAAAATTTATTTAAACAGATATAAAACAAATTTATAAAAATGAAAAATCAACGTAAATAAAATACAAAATACATAATTACAAATAAAGTTTTTATTGAAATATATTTATTTAAGTAAATAAAGTAAAAATAAATAAATAAAAGAAGCTAAATCACAATTATTCGTATTTTTTATCTATTTATTTAGAGATATTAAATATGTTACGTATTATAAAACAAAAGTTTATTTCAAATGAACTTTAGAAAGTTCATTTCTATTATTTATATAGTTCATTTATTATATATATTCTATTATACATATAATTCATTTACTATTATTTACTATATATTACATAAAAGCATATCAAAAAATTATCTTTCATATTTATATTGCATTTATTGAAATAATTCGAAATAATCTTCGTAGAAAAATCTTTAATGAAAACAGTTTTGAAATCAAAATTAATTTAATAATTAGTTTTTTTTAATATTCTAATCAGTTCGTTTTTATATCATATATTTTTGTCAGAAATTTTGAATTTCAATTTTAATACATCTATCAAAAATCTATTATTGAATACATCTGATACTGAACATTTATCAATAGAGCTTATTAATTAGTCTTTTATTGATGTTATTGCGATAATTATTGCGTTAAAAATTCATTTAGTTTTCTATTTACCCCAGATCTATGTGTTACCATAGCCAACAAATGATACTTCATAATAACAGAAAGTAATTCATATATAACATATATTATATAACATAATATCTAGAAAAAAATATAAGACAAA